TTATTTGTGAGAGAGAGAGAGAGCCCAAGAGGGGGTAGAGTCAGAGGGAGAAGCAGACTCCCCGCCGAGCAGGGAGCCCGATGTGGGACTCGATCCCAGGACTCCGGGATCATGACCTGAGCCGAAGGTAGTCGCCCAACCAACCGAGCCACCCAGGCGCCCCCAAGCACTCACTCTTGTTTCCCACTCTGAGGATCGCTGCCAGCAAGGCAGAGGGGCTTCAAGAATGCCCTGTGGTTGGGTCCCAGGCAGTGGCAAGCTGTGGCAGGCACAGGATCCATCCTTGGAGACTTCCTAGGTCTACAAATGGGGAGCAGATGGGGCCAGCTGTCTAGAAGCCTCCTCCTGCTTTCACCCTCCAGCAGATGCCATCTGATTATCCCCTGACTGGGGTGACTGTGTTCCGCCCAGGCACATCCCTGTGTGATGATGACTCATTGGCCAAGGGTGACTCAGACTTCATCTTATCATACTTCACAGCAGAGATAAATCCCATCCCTTGCCCCCAGTCAATTAACCTACAGGGTGGGTAGGAGGCTGGTTCACTGCTGGTAGTTCAGAAGAGATGGTGTAGATGTGTCCGGGAAGCCAGAGGCCTGCCAGAGCATTGTCACCTGTCCCACGACTGTGGCATAGGGCTTCCCATCTTCTGGGACTTTGGGCGACTTACTCAACCGCCTCAACTTCCACTAAAATCAGGGTGATAGTAACACTTCATGGAGTTGTCATGTTCTCAGCATGTGTCCAGTGAGTGTCCACAGTTGCAGGTGCCTGGGATACGGAGGTAAACCAGAGAGCAGGGCCTTGCCTTATGATGTCCAGTGACAGGGACAGAGCAAGTAGGGAAGGCAGTCAACAGGATGTCCCAGGATGTGCTGAGGACTCCACGGGGGTGAATGGGTGCTGAGGTGGTATCAGCAGGTCAGCCCTCTGCATGTCCCACAGGGAGGGACCTCTCTGTCGGAGTGCCTTATCTCCCTTGCCTCGTGATTCCAGGAGTGCCCCTCAGCTCCTTCCTTCCCTCAGAGGTGTTCTGAGCCACAACTCGGATCCCAGAACTGCAGAAGCCCATGGTAGGCGACATCTCAGGGAGCCGACCATCCAGACCCCAGCCCTCTGCAGTTCAGCCCTTTCCCCAGCTCACCGCTCTACAGCCCTTTCAGCAGGTATTTGTGGAGCTCTTTTTGCACCAGGCACCAAGGACCGGGTGGGAGTAAGACGGCCACGGTCTTGACCTCAAGGCACCTGGCTTCTTGTGGGGCTTGGCAGCTAGTGAGCAAGAAAACAAATCTGCCAGGGTGGTTTCTTGGGGTTCTAAGCATATGAAGAAAATGGCATGGAGGGATGAGGGGAGTGCCCTGGACGTGGTGGGGAGTGGGGTATTCCAGGGGAACCTTACTGGTGAGGGAGCAGTGAGGTGTTGGTTACCAGCAAAAGGGAGGCAGCATGTGAAAATCTGGGGCCAGAAGGTCCAAGGGCTGAGGCTGTGAGTGACAGAGAAGGACCAGACCAGATGGTGCAGGGCCATGAAGACCTCAAAGGGGAATTTGGATTTTATTCTGAACACAGGGAGAAGTCTGTAGAGGCTGAATGGATAAAACTTTTAAAAATATTTCCCTATAGGGGGCCTGGGTGGCTCAGTCATTAAGCATCTGCCTTCGGCTTGGGTCATGATCCCAGGGTCCTGGAATTGGGCCCCACATCAGGCTTTCTGCTCAGCAGGAAGCCTGCTTCTCCCTCTCCCACTCCCCCTGCTTGTGTCCCCTCTCTCACTGTCTCTCTCTCTGTCAAATAAATAAATAAAAAACCTTAAAACAACACCACCACCACCACCACCATTTACTTAAAAAAAAAAAAAAAAAATTTCCCTATAGCAGGACTCAAACTGACCCAGGTACTGTGAGGGAGGGGGTGGTAGTGCCGGCCCCGGGCAGACTCCTGCCCCTGGAAGAGGCATGTCCCTGGCAGCCGCCACCTGTCCCCCCTTGCTCTAGCATTTTAATAAATTACACTGCATCCATAAGGTAGTGCTCTGCACAGCCATTAAATGATGCCATGGTTGTAGATATGTTGGCATGGAAAGATGTTCACAATCTATTGCTGAGTGAAAAAAGCTGGCTTACAAAACAGGAAAGGATCACATTTTTATTAAATGTTTATATATATTCACATATTTTGAAGTTGAAGGAAAAGCAAATGTTGGATGGTAGGATTAAGATGGTTTATAATTTGGCTTCTAGTATTTCTAACAGCTTTATTGAGATAATTGATATATAATAAGCTGTACATCTTTCAAGGATGCAGTTTGATAAGTTTTGGCATGTATACATCTGTGAAATCATCACCTGACCTGTGCATTTTAATTTTTTTTTTAAGATTTTATATATTCATTTGATAGAGACAGAGAGTGAACACAAGCAGGGGGATTGGGAGAGGGAGAAGCAGGCTTCCCACCGAGCAGGGAGCCCGATGCAGGGGCTTGATCCCAGGACCCCGAGATCATGACCTGAGCCGAAGGCAGATGCTTAACAACTGAGCCGCCCAGGTGCCCCTGTTTTTTAATTCTGTAAAGTGATACATCATGGGTTTTATTTTTTGTTTGGGGTTTTTTTAATTTAGTTTGTTGGTTTTGCTTTAAAAAAGGAAAGCATATCAACCATTGAACTGGCTGACCCAAGGAGGAAGGGGATTGGTATCTACTTCCTCAAGGCTAGGCTGTGGCAGGCAGGCAGGCCTTCAGGAGCCTTGAAGGGATGGATACCAGAATGGACTTTGGATCCCTTGTTCCTGGGACAAAGTTGGGCAGAGAGGAGCTGGGAGGGGAGGTGGGAGGATACGCAGGCCTGAGGCATCCAGTCTCTCCTTGTTCTTCCCCAGGAGGCCTCTGCAACCTGTGCCCAGACAGGGCCAACAAGGAGCACATCCTGCAGACAGGGGGCATCCCGCTCATCATCAACTGTCTGTCCAGTCCCAATGAGGAGACCGTGCTATCTGCGGTCACCACGATCATGTACCTGAGCTCACCAGGCTCTGGCTCCCACCCTGAGCTGACCGCCATGCCCGTGGTCCAGTGCATGCTGCGCTTCTCTCTCTCGGCCAACACGAGGCTCCGGAACCTGGCCCAGATCTTCCTGGAAGACTTCTGTTCCCCAAGCCAGGTGGCGGAAGCCCGCACCTGGAGGGCTCACTCTGCGCTGGGTATCCCACTGCCAAGGACTGAGGCCCCACAGCAGCCCTGATCCAGGGAGACCTCATAGCCATGATACCCTGACTGCTAGAGAGGAGGCCACAATCCTAGTTGGGGCTCAGGGAGCAGGAGCAGCCTGGTTCCCACTGAGCATGTTCTCCCCAAAAGGTGTCCTTTCAGTTATTTTAAAGGTGAGTTTTCTCAGCGTGACAGGTATTTACACTGTGGTGAGGGGCATTGAGAGAAGAGGCCAGACTTTGAGACACATGGAGGAGAGCAAAGGCAATGCCATTTCCATAGGTTGGCACTCTCAACCAGCTGAAGGTCAAACTCCTGCCTCCTGCCCCCACCCCCAGTGCCCCGCTGCCAGGCTGTCAACCTCCTATGAGAAGCAGCTGGGACCCTAGATTCAGAGGCTTTACAGAAGGGGCTTTTCATGAGGAACAGCTGGGCCTGGGATTAGACTTGCTTGCGCTTGAGGAAACAGGAATTCTTTAACAGAAATATCTGAAATAATCTTGAGGAACAGAAATGAGAAGCCAGCTCAGGGCTCTGGGAAGGTGTCATGCCCACTCCAGGGCTACGGAGGCTGGGTACCCGCACTGCCAGCTCCCCAGGCTGGGCGCTGGGTGTGCTTGATGCCGGCCTGAAGAACTCTGTGGCCCACAGTTTATCCACACAGGCCTATCTGCCAGACACCATGGCGTTTCAAAGACGAAGATGTGGTCTCTCCTCTGTTTTGTTTTGTTTTTTTAAGATTTTATTTATTTGTCAGAACACACAAGCAGGTGGAGCTGGCAGCAGGAGAAGCAGGCTCCCCGCTGAGCAGGGAGCCCAGTGTGGGACTCGATCCTAGGACCCTGGGATCATGACTTGAGCAGAAGGCAGACGCTTAACCGACTGAGCCACCCAGGCATCCCGTTTTTTTTTTTAATTAATTTTTTTAAAACATTTTATTTATTTGACCGAGAGACACAGCAAGAGCAGGAACACAAGCAGGGGGCGTGGGAGAGGGAGAAGCAGGCTTCCCGCTGAGCAGGGAGCCCGATGCGGGGCCGATCCCAGGACCCCGAGGTCATGACCTGAGCCGAAGGCAGACGCTTAACCGACTGAGCCACCCAGGTGCCTCTTAAATTTTTTTTTTTTTTAAGATTATTTATTTATTGGAGAGAGAGAGAATGGTAGAGAGCATGAGAGGGAAGAAGGTCAGAGGGAGAGGCAGACTCTCTGCTGAGCAGGGAGCCCGATGCGGGACTCAATCCCGGGACTCCAGGATCATGACCTGAGCCAAAGGCAGTCGCTTAACCAACTGGGCCAGCTAGGCACCTGCGCCTCTTAAATTTAGAGATTGAGTGAGAGTGTGGGGAGGAGCAGAGGGAGAGGGACAGTCAGAATCTGCACCCAGCAGAGAGCCCGACGCAGGGCCTTATCCCACGACCCCAAGATCATGACCAGAGCGGAAACCAAGAGCCAGACACCCAACCAACTGAGCCACACAGGTGCCCCTACTCTTTAGTGATACAGCCCACTGACTTAAGGTAGCCATCAGGCATTAAGACACGAGGGTGAGGATACGTCAGAATACAGGCATAAACCCTTGAAGCTGTGTACTCTTCCCTCACCACCCCATGGCCCCAGCCTGAAAGTCCTGGTCCTCCTCTGCCATCAGGGTTGGGTTAGTGAGGGGGGTGTCCCTGCCCCTAGAAGTGAATCTCAGACAAAAGGGCTTCAGGAATGCAAGAGTGGTGCTCAAGGGAGACAGGACCAGAGACTGACAGAAGTGTGTGTCTTGGAGTCTACAGTGTACACTGGTCAGCACAGGGGAAGCGGTATGGGATCCCCGTGGAAAGTTGAGGTTCAGGAGCAATGGGGAGCTTCCTGGCCTCCCTTCTGCACTCCCTCAAGGCTGACCTCTAACATGGCCAAGGAAAAGCAGACGCAAGAGAGATGGTGTCTGAGATGTGGAGGTGGGGCAGGTTCTGGAGCCACTGGACTAAGGACACAAGGGAGGAGAAAGCCTATCAGCCTGTATTCCGACTGCCCCTCCTAGGGCTCCTGGCCCTTTACTTTCCTGAATAAAGGGCCCTTAAAGAGTGGTTTGTCAAAGTGTTTTATTAAAAAGGTTCCTGAGTGATTTTCCTACCATGTTTCCTTGCCAGCCATCTTGTTGGGTTCCAGGTGGCTGGCTTTTGAGAATGGAGGTTACTGTGTCTCCCTGCTCCGCGGTGCTGGGGGCCACCTCCACGACACTGCCCTGCCATTCAGCTCTGCTGGGGTTCCCTGCTGGCCTGCCTTCCCTTCCTTCAGCTACTATCCACTATTCTGGCCCCCCGCTTGCTTTCTATGATCTCCCTCCAGTTGTCACTCCAGGAGAGCAGCCGTCTCCTTGTTGGGCATAGGGCTAGGTGCTGGTTGTGGCAGCAGGTGAACAAGATGTGTTCCCAGCTTGGGGTCTCCTCTTGGCCTAGGGCAGGACATGGGAGAAAGGCAGTGAGATGCAGTCAGTAATCTAGTTATTTTACTCCCTCTCCCTAATCCCAGCAGGCCACATGCCTGGAAGGTTGCCAGAAAAACAGGTCTAACCTTGAATGGTGTCCTTGTCATCAATGAGCAGGTCCCCCAAGACCATCGTCTTGTCCCTTGTCAGGATAATGCGCTCCACAAACTGGGGGCCCAGGTGATTCTCCACCCAACGGTACTGCAGTGAGGACACAGGTCTGTCAGTAGGGCCAGTGAGTAAATAGGTGGGAATAGGGTCTCCAGCCTTTGAGAGATGCTGCTCCCCTCCCCCCCTTCCTGTGTTTAAGTTCTGCCGGTTTATTTTAAACACCAGAACTTAGGAAGCCGTTTGCTATGAAGGGCTGGGGAAACCGCACCTTCTCACCCACACAGTGTTCATACTTCAGCAGAGGGCTGGAGCAGATGAAGACCTCCGTGCTGCGTGGAAGGGGCACGGGTTAGTTAGGGTGGTACCGGCCCTTACTCCACCGCCCCTCCCTCTCTGCCCTTCTTCACTCCTGCATGTTGTTCATCTCCTGCATGGCTTCCAAGGCTCCAGGGATAGGCTCCAAGTCTAGGAAAAAGCCTGGGGCTTCATACACACTGGCAACTTTGTCCTGAAAGAAACCGTGTTCTTGTCCCAGCTTCTGCCTCCAGCAGATCTAGCCCCAGGGAGGACTCTCAAAGTAAGATTCCTGGGGGACCTGTTCCCAAATCAGAGCCACAGGGAGAGGATTTTACATGAGGGGAAGCATTCTTCCAGACTTTCTTGTCCAGGGTGAACAATGGATTCTGAAGTGAGGATTCTGTTAAACAGAAAGGGGGTGTCTCTGGAAACGGAGCAGAGGCAGTCTTGCCCAAGGGGCGGGCTCCCATTCCTAGAAGCCCTGTGCGGTCGGGCTCCCTGCTTCCGGGGACACTGTGGGGTCGGGGCACCCGGCTCCCGGGGAAACTGTGCGGTCGGGGCTCCCGCTCCTGGCGACAATGTGGGGTCCAGGCTCCCGCTCCTGGAGACACTGTGTGGTCGGGGCACCTGGCTCCCCGGCTCTCTGTGGGGTCGGGGCTCCCGCTCCCGCGGACATTGTATGGTCGGGGCACTTGGCCCTGGCGACAACGTGGGGTCCAGGCTCCCGCTCCCGGGTACACTGTGTGGTCGGGGCACCTGGCTCGCCGGCTCTCTGTGGGTGGGGACGCCCGGCTCCCGGGCGCCCTGTGGGGTCGGGGCTTCTGCTCCCAGGGTCACTGTGGGGTAGGAGCTCCCCTCCCGCGCACGCCCCGCGCTGCGCTCCCGCTCTCTCCCTACCTACCGCCAGGTCCGGCCGCAGGGCTCGGTACTGCTCGCGGGCGAGGAAGCCGCGGCGCTCTTCCAGCGCCACGTGCGGTTCCCCAGGGAAGCGGCGGCGGAAGCCCCGCAGGAGGCCCGCCTCGAAGTCGGCCAGCACGCCGTCCATGTCCACCAGCACCCGCACGGGGCGCGCGCGCCGCGCCGCCATCGCCGCCGCCATCGCTGCGGACGCCGGGCAGGGGAAGGACGAGGTTGCCGAGGGTCGGGGGGTGGGGGTGGGGAGAGCGGGCGCCCGGCCCGCAACTTCCGGAGGATTGGGGTGGGAGGACGCACCGGGTCTCATTTGCATGGGGCGCCCGGGAACCCGGCCCTGCGGGAGCGCGCGGCCTTCCCAAGGCGGCGGCGCGAGGCGGCCTGAGAGCGCGCCCGCGTGCACGTCCGCTCCCCCTCCCCCACTCCGCAGGGGACGACCCCAAATCCTGCGAAGGCCTCAGGGCTCCTTAAACTTGTGGGGCTGGCGCGACCCTTAGAATCCCGACCTCGAGTCCCGGGGCCACCGCCCTCCCTGCTTGTGGGGCGGGACGCAGGAACACGCCGGACGCCGGACCCCGGACCAAAGGCCCCAGGGCCCGACTCATGGAGGCGCCCAGTAACTTTGAAGTGAAAGACTGTTGAAGACCCCTGGCTCGCGTGAGTCGAGCTCCTAGGAGACGAACTCCTAAACCAGAGTTGGGGCTGGGAGCGTCCGCTTTGAACATCTAGTTCCACCCCGAGACGGTTCCCACCCAGCTCAGGTAATCGGCAATGTTCTTTCTGTGGAACTGCCGTCTGCTCTAGAATTGGCAGTTACAGCCCCGTCTAGAAAACGCGGAACACTTAAGTTTCGTTGATGCTCCTTTGTAGACTTTACGCCATTTTATGACCACATCCAAATAGATTTACCTACAAACTGTAAACTCAGATTTGGTTAAGTGACCCATCTTCCTGTAGTTCCCCATCTGAACACCCCAGTACTTCCAAGTCAATCTTAACGGGAGCATTACAAAGGGGAGACTAGTGTCTTGTTCTAAAGTGATCTAATTAAAAAGCCCTTAAGAGGTATAATCGGCAATAGTCCTCCACGGTTCCCCCCCCTTCCCACTCACATCACACAACCTGAGTGTAAAGTCCAAACTGTCAATGAAATACTGGTTGTTCTGCCATCATTATCTTAGTATCATTCAACTCCACTTTCTAGACCCTAAGCTTTCTAAGTAGAAAATGTAACACCCTGAGCAAACGTGTTTACATAGAATTTCTTAAAATCTGTTCTGATAATATCATAATGACTGACAGCACTGTCCCTCCT